TCCATGTTGGCACAGCGGCGAGTTGCTGGTGTGTGTTTGTTCCCTTGCTGTGCTGTGCATTGCTGCGCTGTGCTGTCCTGTGGGGCCTGATATCAGTCAGTCGGGAGTGTATTCTCTCATGGCTGGGTGTAAACCCCATTTTCCCCCAAGCCGATAGAAATCTATTTCCCACTTTTGCAACAATAAAGTACAAATCACTGGCTGCGGAGCAACACAAGAGACTCTGACGGTAATTTTCTCAGCCGTTACTTTTAATTTTTTTTCAATATCAACCGCGACTTAAACTGTGGTGGAAAGATGATGGCCGTGAGGTTAGCGCTGTGCTGTACTCTGCTCCGTGGCATTGTGTCCCACTTTATTGTCACTCACCTACAGTGAATGCTTTGACTGACTTCAGAGCCAGTATGGAAACTAGACCTTGGATCAAAGTATGTCGCATTCAAACCATGAATGAACCTGGGTTGCAAGCAAAGTCCAAATAGAAGAGGAATTCAATCATGCTAATTGTAATTCTTAGCTACAGGATGCAGCGTCTTTCAATTCAAAGCGTAATAAGGGTAAAAAAATAATTTTTGCATTCGATATAGCACCTTACCACCTTGAGGAGACATCTCAAAAGCACTTCACAGGTTTTTACTGTGAAGTTTAGTGACTGTATTCAGTCGAACGCAGCAGCCAACATACATGCAAGCAACACGAAAAACAATGTGTGAGGAATGTGCAAGGCCATCTCGAAGCCCCTTGTGCGAGAGTTTACCGTAAAGCCAAGTGACTGTGTATGTTGTAGGCAAACGCCTTCAGATGAGGGGATGGAATTGGAAAGGATCAAGAAAAAAAACACGGCGATTGTAAATGAGCGTATCTATTTACATTTCAGTCTCGCATTCCGCGAAATTCAGTGTAAAGAACATTAAATATTAACTGCATGTGAAAATATTGTTGTTCGGTAAAGGAGCAGCTCATTAAAAATGCATCACATTCTTACATACTATCTGCTGACTTTTAACAACCACACATTCATAAACAATATGAATGAAGTTCAATTAAAATGGCTGTACACAGTTCCTTTTCAGACCAATAAATTATTTGTGTAAACGGTACTTTGCAAGCCACACCAAAGTCATCGAACGCAGCCGTAAAATTTCTCTTGAAGTTAAAAATTATAACTTCACTCACCCCACCCCCTTCCCTGGGGCAAGAACAAGTAGCTTCTCAAGCATTAAAATCAGTTATAACATTAATGATAATAATCCTTGCTTTTGATATAGCGCATTTCACATCAGGACGTCTCAAGGGAACATCACAGAGTCTTCCTATAAAGTCGAGCAGCCAACTCGCACATAACGATGTCCCACAGGTAGCTGTGAAGTGAATGACCAATTTTATCTGGGAGAATTGTTGGCCAGGATACGAGGAGAAAAACCCGCCTCTCTTTTTCTTTGACACAATGAACAACAGACATTACCTCATGGCTGTTTGCGGGACATTGCTGTGTGCAAACCGGTTGCCATGTTCGCCTGCAAAATTCATAGTCACTGTACCTTCAGGAGAGGAGAATCGAAAACAGGAACATAATGCGAGAAAGAGAGGGGGAAAAAAAGGAGTGAGTGAATGAATTTCACAGTGCAGTTTCCACATCATCAGAACCTTCCCTTTAGTGTTATTATTTGTTTTAAAAAAGTCCCGCGAAAATTGGATTTGTACAGCGAGTTATATGTCACACATTGGAGCTTTAAATAAAATATTTTGGATAAATATTCACCAGCCTGAAATCTTAAAGCTACTATTTTATTTATGGGCAATAAATTATCGCCACATTTAAGAAAACTCCCTTCAGGCAATTTCAATTATTTACAGCTTATCCTCAAGGATTTGGGGCTGCAAACAAACATAAGGCAACAGCCACATCAATGAGGAATCAGCTGGAAGAGGGCAATGGAATATCCAAAGGAGTGAGGTGATGTGATGACACCAGATCATTAGAAGAAACAAAAAGGAAAAGGCTGAAGCCATAGCATTATCCTCACAAGAAAGAGGGCGACGAAAGAGTTGAGATGGAAAACTGTGAAGCACATTGCTTCTGGTGGAATTACAAGTAACTGAAAGCAGTCTGGCGCATCAATAGGCACAAAGAACAACCACAAGTGACAAGAGCTGACAAGAGTGTACAAACACAGACCAACAGGCATTGTCACAAACGACAAAATTATGACTTTTTTGAGAAATACAGAACACGACATTCCTAATGGGGCGAAGACGGTGACATTGACAATCCCATTTAGCGTTGTTGTCAGGGCTGCTGCACCTTAACGCAGGAGTAATTGCTCATCTGGGGATTTCTTGACCCGAGGCATTCCTGTCACCCTCGAGAACAGACCTCGATATAAAGGAAATTGCCCACAAGGGAGAATTGATGAAGATGTCTTTCATTACTGCCTGACTGAAGCCAATAATCACAGGTTATATGAACTTAAGTTTTCTCTATGGAAAAGGGTCCTTTTGACTTGACCCAGCGAGTCTGTGCTATTGAAACCCGTTTTTTTCCTCTAAATTGCACATTCTTTTAAATTGATCTCTCTTTATAGGTCTTTTCCCACAGCCTTTAATCTTTGTGTTTTTTTTACTACTTTTTACCATCAGCCCCGCAATAACCTCACACAAGCCACGTAATGCCCGGTTTGGACACTGAAGGTTCTGAATGTTCTGCAATGAGCCTCAGAATTAACGAGTTATTCACTTGGTGGCTGTTTGTGGGGCATCACTGAGCACAAATTGTCTGCTGAGTTCACCTCCAAAACACACAGTCGCTACACTTCATGGTGAATCCCGTGAAGCGCTTTTGAGATTTCCTCCTGACGTGAAAGGCGGTATATCAAATGCAAGGTTTATGATTACAACAAAACAACACAAATGACATTGATGAGGTGCCTTTCACGTCAGACTGACGTCCCAAGGCGCTGAAGAGTTAAGGGTTTGCACCCGAGTTTGAGGTGGGAATCAAGATTAAACCTAACGTGCAGCATCACAGGTCCGTCCTCTGAGCCCAAATCAATGGGTGCATCAGGTCCAAGTTACCTTGAGCCTCAAATGGGCACTGCTTTCTGCAGTTTTCTGGGGCTTGATTCCACTCACCACCAAACACTGTCCTCCAACTGAGATCAAAGGCAATGACAACAACAAGGGCAACAGGAGCAAGTCCAGACAATTCTGGATTCTGGGAGCCAAGCTCACACTGCACCAGCTCCGATATCCCACACACTCCACCCGCGGAACATCCGAATGCCAGACAGTAGACAACAAAGCCAACTGGATAAAAATGCCTGCAACCCGCACGTAGCGTGAACACACAGCTGTGCTGTAAGGCCGGTTTAGAGGATTGGGGAGGGCGGGCGAGGAGGGGAGAGAGAAGAGAAAAGACAGCACCAAAGGGCAAGAGCTGTGTTGACATGCGAAGTGAGCAAGGCTGTCAGCTTACGCTGTATCAGGCAAACACCTGCACGAGCTGCAAATCACTCTTCCCCATCCCCCAACACACGCACACACCCTGTTAATTAACTCTCTCGGTGTTTCAGAAAGGGAAAAAAAAGCTCAGGTCAGTTGCGAGTTGCTGAGGTGCGAGTTGTTGTTTTCCTATGAATTTTAACGTCTTGAGTGACTCCAAACAAGGTCTGAACCTCACCGCTTTTGCTCGCTGGAACGAGACAGCAAAGTTCCTGTGAAGACGTGTTTCAGAGGCAAGGATTATAATTAATAACGCAGTGGTATTACCTGCACCTCTCTTGGCTCATTGTTTTGTTTATCCACTGCTTTTATGTGGCCTTACAATGTCTCCCACCACCTCCCATCCCTTCCAGCTATCCAGAATTGCTTCCAGAATAATCCCCTCGCACCAACCCTCCATTTTCAAAATCCTTCTCAGAAAACCTGCATCCACTACCATCTCCATCTAACCTCCATCCTCCCTCATCCCCTCCTTTCTCCCCCCCCCCCCCCCCCCTCCAGCAATTCCCTCCTTGCAGAGTGATTCGTTTGAGCTATTTTCTCTGTGTGAAAACGCAGTAGAGGTGCAAGCGTTTTTGGGGGTTGGTTACGGCAGCAAAACTTCTGACACTGATTAGACTGTAGCAATCCACGAGACAGTTAAGTCTGACTGATCCATTGTAATGGTGTCAAGTGTTTGCTCCTCCAACGAAACTTCCCGCAGGAGTCAATGGTTGCACTCTGCGGACTGATGTATATAATAGGTGCTCCTCTTCCACCCCCCCCACCCCTCCACCACACGCCTCTTAACAGGAATCCAGCAAGTGGCTTGCCCTGGCCTCCAGACGAGTACAGTCATCCCCAGTGAAACAAACGTGTTCTATCTCAGAACCTGTCAAGCAAGGGGTAGGTTTCTGACTCGCCCTCAGGCTTAAGTGCCAGATAATTTCTGCGGTTCTTTTTGGGCGAGAGAGGAGGCCGTGGGTTACATATCGTGGGTCGAGAAAGCTTGGCTTCCGCAGCTACCAAGAAGGCACTTGACCTACAAAACTCGGTCGCTGAGCCGCACGGAAGAATCCTTCCTCGGGAGAAACCGGGGAATCTCAGTGACTCTTACGGTTTACAAGTAGATATCAACGTTTACCGAGGATTCAACGAGCTCCTGGTGCAAACATCACGCCCGCAGGTAATCTGAACTCAAAAGACTGGAGGCGATACCAGGTACAATGGCCTGAATGACCTACTTGCGCGGTGATGCCAGAAGGTCTATAACAGGGCTTACGACCAGACCTTAACTCTGATGCACAAAAAAAACACAAACGCGGTTATTTGCGACAGTGATTCCAGAGGAACCCAATCCCTTTTCTCGCTCGGAAACCACACAAAGTCACCTTTCTTCTCTCTGCCTTGCCCCAGACTTGACTTTGCCTGAGTCACTTTCATGCTCTCTCTCTCACTCTACCAACAGGCTCAACCCTGGGACACGCCAGGCATGGCCAAGAAAAGGTAAGGGCTCTCACCATGACCGAGACGTGAAGCACGTGCATCTGTTCGTCCACGATCTCGGAGGGCTCCCGCATGGTCGGTGGCGTGATCTGGGAGAGGTGCTCGGCGTTGCTCATCGAGACGTGGAAATAAAGCGTCCCGTTCTCCAGCCACTGCTGCTTCCAGTGAATCAGCGAGATATCGGCCACCGTCCCGGACATTTCTGAAACGAGAAAACCAGGAGAAACTTTCAATTCACGGCTCAACTGCACCTGGGAGGAAGGAGTTGCGTTTATATTGGATCTTATGGGTCCGGAATAAAGTCTCAGGGAGCTTTACATAACTATCGTTGAATTTAGAAATTGTGGGGCGGGGGGGGAGGGGGGTTTCACACATATAGGGCAGCCAATTTGCAAACATAGTGACACAGCCCCTCTGTCCAACTAGTCCTTGACAGTAATAATAATAATAATAATAATCCTTGCATTTGATATAGTGCTTTTCACGTCTTCTCGACATCTCAAAGCGCTTCACAGAATAGATTGAAAAATCAATTGACCGTATATTTGTGGGCGAAATGCAGCCGCCAATCGCACACAGCAGCGTCCCCACAAACAGGGTCTACAGTAGCTCCGACACTTCCTACACCCCTCCATTCCCCTTCATGTGTACATTGAGCTACCTCTTAAAACACGGCAATGCTATTGCTTGAACCATAGCTTTGAGACAGCGAGGTTCTGCAGTCAGTCATCAGGTGAACGCCGATTAATCTGGAGGACTGTTGGTTACGTCCGCTGGACATTTTATTGACCACACGAGGACAAGCAGATGACAGGTAAGACCTCAGTTTAATGTACGTCTCAATCCTAACCTGAAACTCACGGCGTTTTGTCAAAGGAACTGGCTTCAACTTGGATTCCCTTTCGTTTGTGTGAAATTGGAGCCTTCTTGACCATTTGAAAAGGACATTGTTTTTAGAGTTAATTTAACCGTCAAGGGAAGTGGTGAGAACGAGGCATTTCGTAAATAACAATAACAATCCTTGCATTTGATAGAGCGCCTTATCACGTCTTCGAGGTGTCTCAAAGCGATTCACAGGATATATTGTACGGTGTATCTTGTGGGCGAAACACGGCAGCAAACACAGAAGGAAGGAGATTCTCCGCGTTGCCTAAGGATTGTACATTAATTCCTGTGCAGTTACTAACGTGTTGGGTTACACAGTGTCTCTGACTGTCGGGACAAGTTACTCACCATCATCTGTCCATTTAAAGTGTGGCATAAATTCAAGAATCTTCAATAATTGTCTAACCAAGAAACTGTTTACATTTTGGAGACAGGCAACTAATGGGGAAAACCAATGTAATTTGTTACATTGGTTATTCATTGAATTGCCAACTTGGCAATTAATTCTCTTGATATATATACACACACATAATATGCACAGCATATTTGCACATAGATTAGTTTGCTCTGCAATAGTTTTTATGGCACAGAGACAAGCACTGGAGAGAACACTACTTTATGTGGCAGGTGTGTCTGGAGAGATCTTTTCCTGGTGGTGGGGAGGAAAGGGGGGGTTTGTTCACCTAAGACAGAAGCCAATCCAGTGTGAACCCAGTTAGTGATAAACACCACAAATGGATTCGCCTAGAAAATACACTAAATTGCAGTAAATCCTGTGAAGAGCTTTGAGGCGATCTCCCAACGAGAAAGGTGTTATATGAAGCGGACCCATATTATTATGAATTTTTGCTATTATTAATATATAAAAATAAACACAGATCGGATTTGATCTCGTCACAGACAAGGTCCCAGGTTGTTGGAGATGCGGAGCGATTGTAACTAAACCGAGCTGTCTCTTCAAACGCAACACAATGCACATTTTTTTTTACACAACATCTAAGCTCAAAAAAAAATTCCCACAGCGAGCAAGAGACATAAACTGCCTAAAACCACCAAGAGAGATGTCTTAGAAGCAACGACTACAAACTGTAGAGATGAAAACTATATTTCACAGAGAGGATCTTGGTTCCCTGTGTTCCGCTCAACAGCTGTGGTGCATCTTTGGGAATTATCCCCTTCGGAGGGTCGACATGTGTAAAAACCAGCATCGTACTTTGGACTCAGTTGTCAGGATAAACGCTTTAAATCCAGCTCGACTCAACCCATCGCCTTCAAGAAGAGAGAGGAGAAACTCGGGAAGGGGCTACATGTTTCATCCCTGATTCCCTGCTTTGAGTAGGCAGAGCGAAAGATCAAGACAGACCTCAGCAACGATTGCCCCTATGATTGTGGAAACATCTGCGAGTATTCACATGAAAGGTGGCCATTTGAGGGTGGGATAGTGTAACCTTACATCCGCCTGAAATTGGGGGGAAAAAATACTAAACCTCCAAAGCAGTATGAAGTCTGGTGCATATGTTGTACCTTCGGGCAAGCTTTTAGTTGCTATTCCGACATGTTTGTTTCTAAACTAACTCACTAAAAATTCATGGCACTTCTAAATATAGCCCACAAATGAATGGCATGTGTCAAAAGTGCCAAGCAACTTCACTGGTTAAACTGAAAGAGGCACTGGCTGCTGAGTCAGGACCATCCCAATGCATTAATCCTCTGTAGGGTTTAAAAATCGAGCTAGCTCTCAGGTGATGTTTCTGGCACAGAAATGGTCAATGGTCAGTTGCTCTCAGGATAGAATCACGTAATCTTACGCACAGAAGGAGACCATTCGGCCCATCGTGGCTGTGCCAGCTCTTTGAAAGAGCTACCAACTCGCCCTGTTCCCTTCCCCGCTCTTACCCCATAGCCCTGCAATTTTTTTTCTTTTCAAGTAACTATCCAATTCAAACCAGGGTTAGTCTGGTTCTTGAGCCAGGTGGACCTCGAGTACTCCAAACCACTGTTGGTGATAATCTGCTTTAGCAGAATCCCAACACTCTGAGGTCTTCAAGCCTTGGCTCTCACCAACCTGCACCTAATACGCTCTGTAATTAGGTCAGCAGGTAGACAGTGCACATTCAATTCCAGACACAGGAATATTTGTATGGGAAGCTCTGTGTGGAACTCTCAAGTCTGGTTGCATATCGTTAACAATAGTAATGGGTTTCCGCAGGCGTCAGACACCCGGCTGACCAAAAATAGAACCTATCTGGTGAATTAACTGACAACAGAGGTTCGGATGAAGAAGGCCCTTTGGCCCATTTAATCTAATTTGCACAGAACACCCACCCAACCACCCTCCCATCACAGCATCAAGCTGTTTCTTAAACAAGGCTAGTGTCTTGGCCTCAACCATCCTTCCTGGATTGTAATCCGATTCCATTACAGTTGTTGATTACCCTCTGGGTAAACAAATACTTCTTGGTGTTTTTCCTGATCTTGCCCTTTCCATCTCTAAATCCGTGCCCTTATGTCTTGCTGCCCAGTTGTGTCTGAAAGTGCTGCTAACATGAATTAGGACATGAATTATTATAACATTATAATAACATGAATTATTATTATATTATTATTAGGGCTGATTGTGGTTTTGAGTCGACAGTTTTGGTCCTTTCAGCTCCTGGTCAGTGAGGTTCAAATTCCTGGTTTCAATCTCTACAAACAGCACACAGTAAAAAGGTTGGTGCCCGTTGGCTCTCATCTTTCTCTTTGATTAAAATTTGTCTCAAAGCAGCAGAGTGCATCATTGATATCTTGAGATATCTGCTGATGTCCATTTAACGATCAAGGAGCTATGATTACTGTATCAATTTTGAAAGGTTGCTTTTACAGCCTGGTACGAGAGAACTCAATCCTTCATTATGCTGGCCAGTGGGACAGTCGCAGAGAACAAGACGGTTTCAATCCGACGTCTATGGAATACGTTAAGACCTTTAGGGATGCTTCTACATCCTGTTCCCCCAGTATGTAGATTTACAAGGAATGTACAGCATGGAAACAGGCCAACCAGTCCATGCCAGTGTTTATGCTCCGCACCAGTCTCCATCAATTCCTTTACTCCCTCCAATACACGTCTGTTCCTGTCTCCCCCATGTGGAGGCCTAGCTTCCTTTTGAATGAATGCATCTACACTATCTTTCAGTTGGGCTGAAAGACTTGTTTCCATGCCTATCACTTTATGTTACATGAGACCTGAACCCACAGCTTGCTAAGCCGGGGGCAAGCTTGCTGCTAACCTGAGCCCAAAATGTCCACCCGTACATCGTGCCACAAGTAATAGGCTTCGACGCTACATAAAACGACAACAAACCCAAAATTCGATGTGCACGCACAGATTATATAAGATTGCAGCACACACTTGAAATGTAACCTGTTATTTCCTGCTCACTTTCCCAAACATTACGCCCGCTCAATTTTCTAGCTGCAGTATACGGTGAATTGCTCCGAGACATCTTCCAGCTGAATTTCAAACCAGCAGCTTTAACCTTCAATAAGATAACAGTGCAATTCAGCAACCGCCATTCTCGGAGTCCTTAACTCCTGTCTCTCAGTGAGCAATGATTGGTTTAAGTGCGAAAAATGAGAGAGAATCATACATTTAATAGCCTTGGATCCTCAAGACCAGGTAAACCATATCAACTGGCCTCAAACCAGCTTGTCTTTTAAACGCTTGGAGAAAGGGCACTATATAAATGCAAGCTGTTGCATTAACAAAGTGGCTTCTTTTACGTAAGCACCTCGTAACACATCATTAACAACAACAACAAATTGCACTGATATAGAGCCTTTCACGTCGGGAGCACGCCTTTACATCAAGGCATGAAGCAAAACATTTCACCCATTCTCAACTCAGTTAAATTGGCTACTTCACCTCTTCATAAGCGAAAATTGGCTGCTTCCCTTGGCTTTGTAACAACACACACAATAAACCTCGCAAATAACCACTTTTTTTAATGTAAAATGCTTCGAGACTTTGATGCGATAAGGCAAGTATTATTGGTGTTGTTGTTGTTGAAAGTACGAACATTCTGGTTAAATGCAACGCCTTTTGATCTGTTGCCCCCTCAATCTAAACATGAGCATTTCCTTTCCTTTGGTTATTTCTCTAGACCGTGACCCGTCTGCTTCAGGTTCAGATGAAAGTCGTTCAGACTGCACACATCATCCGAACGAAAGCACGGTCCTTATTGATTTCCAGTGGACTGTATTTGAAACTGAAACTTACTCAACGAGAATTCAATCTCCAATGCCAGTAAGTACTGTTAAGCGAATGCCGCAGTCAAA